GTAGGGAATTTATAGTCTTTACGGATCACAAACCACTGACGAATGCATTAAAAGCGAGAGCCGATAAATACTCACCTCGAGAAGTCCGACACCTTGACTATATATCACAGTTCACAAGCGATATCCGACATGTCAAAGGTCAGGACAATCAGGCGGCAGATGCTTTATCTAGGCTAGAAATGAACGTGCTACAACAGTCCACAGTAAACTTCGAGACGTTGAAAAACGAACAAGAGCAGGATCTAGAATTACAAAACCTGCTTAAAACAAACAATTCAAGTCTTAATTTAAAACAGTTCCCATCACCTGTCGATGGTATTCTAATCTACTGTGACACGACCAAACCAATTCCGCGACCTTTCGTTCCCAAAAGTATGCGAAAGTTGATATATAATAACTTTCATTCTTTGTCTCATCCTGGCGCAAAAGCTTCAACTAAACTAATCAATGCCAGATATATATGGCCGAATTTACAGAAGGATGTACACAAATGGGTTAGAGAATGTTCAGCATGTCAACAATCAAAGATTAATCGTCACACAAATTCACCCATAGGTGTTTTCTCGCAACCAGATGCACGTTTTGCCCATGTGCATATCGACTTGGTAGGTCCTTTACCACGTTCAAACGGTTTTAATTATCTTTTTACATGCATAGATCGATTTACCAGATTCCCTATAGCCATCCCGATAGCGGACATCACAGCAGAAACAGTAGCCAAAGTCTTCATGCAGAACTGGGTAACCATTTTTGGTACACCCATAACAATAACGACGGATAGAGGAGCGCAATTCGAATCCGAACTATTTAATAACTTGGCTAAACTTCTAGGCTCTAATAGGATACGCTGCACTGCATATCATCCTCAGGCTAATGGGATGGTAGAACGTTTTCACCGTCAGCTAAAAACCGCCCTTATATCTCACTCAAACCCCAATAAGTGGACAGAATTCCTACCGTTAGTTATGTTGGGAATACGAACATCTGTCAAAACTGACGCACAGTGTTCAGCTGCAGAACTGGTTTTCGGAACAACTCTGAGACTACCAGGTGAATTTATTAACCCTAATACTAACAGTCAAAAACTTAATTTAGAAAATTATGTAGATCAACTACGGGACCACATGTCTAAACTTAAGCCAATTAATACTCGTGAACAATCGCGCCCCGTATATATACCTAAAGACCTAAGCAATTGCACGCACGTCTGGATAAGATGTGACAAAATAAAAGCACCACTCAGTCCTCCATTTGAAGGTCCTTTCAAAGTCGTCTCAAGAAAATCTAAATATTTCGTGATAGAAAAACATGGAAACATCGACACAGTAAGTATTGATAGGCTAAAGCCGGCTTACCTAGATCATGAACCACCATACGTGTTGTTAGATCGTTTAACTGACAAATCCATTACGGAATCGAAATGTGAAGATAATAAATCTTTACAAATGACTAAAACGGTTCGCTGGGCACATCCAATTAGTCAGTCAAGGATGTTGACAGTTTCGGCTGCAGGATAAAATCTAACCACGCAGCTAATCACACCCTGCATCTACTTAAAAAAATTTTTTTTTCATCATCCCGCCTCACCGACAACTCCCCAGACCTTTTACTTTTGATATATACGTGTTATGTTAAATATTTTTTTAAAATACTGGACACATAAGCTAGGTACTCCGAAACGACGGCTGAGGATTTTAATCAAACTCATACAACTAACACTGGCAAATACAACGAATTAAAAAAGCAACCCAGGCGAGTTTTATAATTTCTTTTTCTGGTTAATTAACTATGTTGGCTGTACTTCTTATATATTTATATATATTTTTCACGTAGACTGGCTATACATATATACCATATGAACTACTTCTAAAAGTTTTCGGTTGAGGATATGTTTAGTAGCTTGATACGATTAATACTACTATTAATAAGTAGTTTTCTAGACAAAACATTTTGGATTAAACCATGGTCAAGTACTTATTAAAGTTCTCATCATTTTTTTTCATGTTTAGGAAACTTACGTAATGACTTAACCAGTTTCCCTGCAGCATGCTTTTTAGTGTGATCATATAACCCATTTTTATTGGCAATATTCAGATTTTTTTTAATTTCTGACATTTAAGAATCAATAACCGTGAAGATATAGTACAGTGCATTACTGTAAGGTTACTATGTCAGCCGCATTGATTCCATATACCTAATTTTAAACACAACTTATAAGGGAACTGTTTAGTAATCATAACATTGAACTGACAATGTGAATATCACGACTATGCTAACGTCAAACCAATTATTATTAGTGGCCCATACAAAGTCCTGGAACTTAACATTAGCGTTATAAAAAAAAACATTTTATGTCAATAACTGATATATATATATATTCGTTGGTTTAAATATAACGTAAAATGGAAATTTACTAAACTTGTAGTTTTTTTTTCTATAGTAATAATATTCATGTAAAAAAAGAACTTATACTTTTCCAATATGGCACTTTGATATATCAATCTGTCCTCTTGTCATTTTTTCTCTCATATGTGCGCGACTTACGGGCAACAAACATCGTATTGAAGGTAGGTCTAGTGAACAAAAACGCAGGCCCCACATTCACTCGAACCTCTGCCCTCCTGAATGCTAGACCGCGTGCTTAGCCGTTAAGCCACATCAGACCACGGAGGAAGTGACTTCAATATTTCCTTACACCAATTAATCACTTATAATACTAATGAGTAATAGGACTTACACACTTCTGAGGTGCAAACCAATTCGTTACTTGGATGAATTGACGATATATTGCTTCAATATATCATGCATACCTAAATCAAACAAGAAAAGGGTATTTGACACAACTGTACTTGATCCGCATACTCTACACAATTTTTTTTTGCTTCTTAACCGTATATTCTTTTCCGTTTTGTGGAGTACAATTATGCACCCTTGGTTACGCACCTAGTTGTGAAACGCGGTCATCACAAGCTCAAGGTCACGGGTTTGATCGATTTTGTTAAAGAGTCCAACTTCTAGCAAGTTCACCCTTTTATATATATGCATTACAAAAGAGTATTTTTTTTGTTTTCATGGTTTTTCGTGCACAAGATATCTACACTATGTCTATTCTCTTCCAGAATACCAATCCGTTCTGGAGACCAAGCACTTACATGGAACCGAACAATTATCAATTACATTTATGTATTTCCATTTTGTATCTTATTATTTTATGCAGGCAGTGGAGCAGTTCTTCAGGTTTGCTTGATTTTCACCATTACCTTTGAAGTAGATTCTTCTTTACTTTTTACTTGAGGGCGACTCAAGAGGCAGGTGAGTAAACACCTGATAGCCGGTCTGAGCACGGAAAAATCGTACCTCACCAACATGGTGTTGGGTAGCCCGCTCGCGGCACTTCCTCAGATATTCTTATTCCACATTCTCATACTTTCTCTTGAATGCACGCAGCAAACCGTCGGCGATAGTTGTAGAAGAAATCACATGCTACAAAATAAGATGACAAGCTAGTAAATAAGAGACGTCCATGGACTATCGTTGACAGCGTTAGTCGTCACTGATTGTAAGTCAAACAGTGAGCGAGTTGATAATTTTCCCTGGGGATGAGAAATAGAACCAAGGTGTTTTCGATAGTTAGGTTAATCGAACCGACGTTCCTACGGAAGTCGATTCTAGGGGGAAGCTAATGTAACAGCCTAGGTTGGTTGGTTAAGAGTTGACCCCAAACAACCAAGCATATGCCAAAACAGTACTGTTCAAGTATTCATTCACTTCCTTGTTTTGTATAAGCGTTATATTCCCTATTATCTTATATTGAATGTTGAGAGCCTTTGTTTGTCTGAACAGGTAATCGGACGCTCCACTGTCACCGCGCTAAGATCGAAATAAAGACCTATTCACTACTTCTCTGGTTTCTTCTATCAATAGCACGAGGGCTACTTTAAGGCACGAAATATCCTTTGTTCGCGGTGGGAATTAAACGGGTACACATTTTATGGAACCACATTTTACACTCATCGCACTGCATTCCTTCTTCTAGGAAGGAACAAACAGTTTGGCTGTCCACATTCATAAGTACTTCCAAGCATTGTAATCAGACTAAGAAGGTTTGAAACACAATATGATCACAATATGAACACAAGTGTCAGCCAATTAGTAAGACAAAGTTTAGATAGATTTCAAACCTTAACCAAATACTTCAAGTTAAAGTAGACCAAGTATGCTTTTGGATGCAACAAGTACACAGAAGCAAGGGTGATCACAGCAAGTAAAAAAGGCTGCAATTAGACGCAACTCGACTTCGTAAACGTGGCTGTCTGCTTAGCGACCAGTCAGAATGAGGAGGGAATCATTACATCCGCCATCTTTGTAGGCAACGTGGGTTGGCTTTCCTTGTTTTGTGTTTTTTCAGCTATTTCTTTCGTGTAACTACATAATTTAGTGTTTCAGTGTGCCAAAATGCCACAGTTATTGTATTATTCTAAACGTTGGCTCAAATTTTCTTAGATTCAGCATTGTTTTCGGAGTTTCTGCTACTGCTACTCAAGTTGATGTACTTCTTCAGGCCAACTGGATAATCTTATATTATAAAATGTTGATCTGTTTTGTTTTTAGTATTTTTTTCAGATATGGAGAACGGAAGTTAGTTTTTTTTTTTAGCTAAAATAGGTTTGCTGCCGCATGGGACTCTAACTGACTAGTTATTTAATAAAAAATACGTTTTAAAATGACAAATTCTGTGATCACATGAACGTTGACATGATCATTATTATGCTGGGTGACACATTAGGTTTACATAGAAACTTTGAGGATGAAACCACCCGTAGGAGATCACCGCCCTTTTTGAAAACGCGCTCGTCAAAATTGAGTCGGCAAGAGGCAGGATGTCTTGCCTTTCTCATGTCTTTCAATCAATCCAGATTTTTTGTGGAAGACCTACAACACGTGTTAAAGTATTTCAATAGACTTACTGTAATTATTACTAAAGACTAGGTCTACATACTGAATGCTGGATTGACCTTGGAGCACGGTTTAAATGTGCCTGTAATATGTAATATATATCTCACATTTTGGGTATTGATCACCAAACACATAGCAAACATATATTAAACTAACAGTATTAGTGAAAAATTTTTAAAACTAACCTCTTCATGCAAATTTGCTGTGTAAAACTAGTCTTAACACACAGTTGTCTTATTTTTGATTTTTTCATTCCAGAAATCGTTCAGGCTTTTAGTCTTAAGCGTTAAAAGCTATACCAACTCTCCGCCCTGTCACTGTTCATATTTCTGGTTGAACAAAGGTTTTCCGACCTAAACAACACAGTTTTGTATGGTTATTGGATTCATTCGTGACATGAATTATGAATTACCAAGACAATGACCACACAGAAATAGTCCAAGCTGATGAACAAAAGATGCCTACATGTTTAACAGAAGATGAAAGTCAACGAATAAGCTGTGTGGAGTATATTAAGCAATATGATATCTCACAGGTAAATATAAGAGTTAAATTTAGTATGCAAATAGATCGGCGAAGTATCATTCTACTATTTCGAGTGGTATATTAGATGCAGATTTATCTTATCCCTTATGCTCCGTTGAGTCTCGGTCTCTGCTGAACTATTTCGTTAACATTAAATTTTTAACGAAAACTGCCCAAAGTCTCAGAAAAGATCTTGACCATTTATTTAGAACTTAGGTTGTATTTTAAATTTTCTAATATACTGTTCGTTGTTTGAAGTGTTATGAAATTCCCTTTCAGATAAATGGTACGATAAAGCGGGGAGTGTTTCCCTATTAGCTAACAATGTATCGATGTCTTAAACTCATTTAATATTCATCGGAATCTTACAAGTTAATTGAAAATCTGTGACATACTACGAGCAAACGTTTTACAAATAAACACTCAGTCAAGCCGAAAATTTGCATCTGAATTCTCGCCAAGCCTTTAAAATAGCCTCGGAATGAGTACTAGATGGAACTTTTCTCAGGGATTATATATATGTATATATATGATATGGGTTTATCAGTACTGTTTAGTATTGCTATTTCACTGATCTTCGGACTACAGCTTAAAATTCTGATGGCATATTTATGTCTATCCCACTAAAATATTACCATCAAAACATGAGTTTTTTGGGAGCTGTCTTGGAATTTGTAGATTTTTTGGTGAAACTAAATTATGGATGACCTTTGAGCGGTACCAAAGGGACTTTGAAGATATTCACCTACATGCTAGGACTGAATGAGAGTTATGAATTAGTGTAAGGTGTTAGAATTAGGGCTTAAAGTAGGCCGTTAGGTTTAGGAGTTTTCATCACGAACTGACATCAGCTATAGTCTCAAAATGCTATTTGGACGTATGGATGGACGAATTTCGCGCCAAAACTCAAAACTATATTGTTTGTGATTGGTTCGTCTATAAACTAAAGTCTCGGCAATTTTTAAAGTTCTTAGGAATCAGTCGGTATCGTGATTGGAAGTCATACTTAGCCCAGATGGATCCATACTTTACGTAGTCCTACCACTTATTGTAGAGTTATCATAGGTTTATGCTTTTACATCCATGTTATTTGTTACGAAACTATGGCATTTCAAGTTAATGACCTAATAAAAGACATTGACAACGTGACGAATAAAAAGTTCGAATGTTTACCATTGTCAGTCAGTCATATACGATTTAGGGCCTGATACGAACGTACATCAAAGCAAGTCGCGTGACGACATGGAATTAGCAAGAATAGCTAAAATGTAGGAGTAGTAATAACATCAGTTGTTTCGAGAAAGATCGGTCACCGAACAATATTTTCTCAAATAAGGGTTAAATTTTACGGATAAAATGAACTAAATAATGTAGAAGTAACCTATTTCTAAGGTGTCCAATAAGTTCCTCGATTACTGTTTACGATAATCGTACGATCCACAACAAATTTACCTGCACCTGTCACTAAGATTCGTTTTAGGAGCCAATTATTCTATGGACTTTTGCAGTACCTTGGTTTACCCCTAGTTTTCTTCAAGTTGTGGGTCAAGGTAGACGGTGATTAGGCATATGTAACTTGTGTCCCAGCCACCTCAGTCAGTGGAAATTCACTGTCTCATAGATCAGTTTGTCATTTCATCTGGCACCATTTGCTTAACCCTAGTTTTGCTCACTCTCTTGCCCCTTGATATGTTTCGCTCTGGGCACTCGAGCAGTATTACAGCCCTCACACAAATCAATGATAACTGCTACTGGCCTTATTATTATTGTGTGGCGTATATGTATTTGATACCCTTTCAAATAAATAAATAATAAATGTGAGCAATGCTTTAAAGACATTTGTGACAAAAAACTTGCAACCTTTTCCTGTCTTCTGTTTGCATAAACCACGTTTTACAGTCATAGAATAAAACAGCTAATTGCTGACTAGTATACTCGTCTCTTTGTTGACAGTGCGTAAATCCAACTTGAGTCGTGGAACAAGGTTATTACAATTCGATGAATTTAGGTCATGCATGATGTCCAATCAGTATCGAATATATCTATTGTCGAATACTAGTGGTCTAAGAGTGGCGACTTATTTTACATGTCATTTTTCTAGTTATAGAGTGGTACAAGATATACTGCTGTACAGCACATTCAGTCATTCATGAACAGATGAACATCTTACCAGCGTCACAACTGACAAGTGTACAAAAATCAAGCCCCCTTTCTAAACCCATACAGTAAATTTATCAGATGCTAACTCACTCAGGCTGATGAAACTTCTGAAGTAAATAAAGTCGTAAACACCCTAAACTAATTAATTTCCAATAGGTAATATAGGGGTTAAATTACTCCATTTCTGAAGCAAAATCATATTAACCTAACACTCGGTTATCAATTTAAAAGCAGGTTCGTCGTTATATTCATGTGTTAGTTTTATTTTTGATGGAGCCAGTTTATAGTTTATTGTCATGAGAAAGATAAGATATATAGTACTGTTTTGTTTGTGACTTATCATAACGCTTCACTGTATTTGATAGGTTTTCAGTAGATTTTCACTTGTTATTTTTTTCTAATTTTTCAATTACTACACATTTTAGTAAAGGGAAAAAGTTTCTGAACCTTAGGTTTGAACCACATTTAATCTGTTTAGGGAAATATTGATAGTACTCGTAATAAGATAGCTCACTATTTCAAATAAGTTTACAAACCATTTGCACACAGGCCTAATAATGTCACCATTTTTCTAAGAAGAAAAAAGCCATGTAGTGGTCCACTTCACAACAGTATTCCTTTTCTGTTTCTATCTGGCTTTAAACTTATTAGTTATTACATTACACACTACATTTATTAGTTCTGTTTGGAGATCCATGTGAGAAAATAGGTGATATTGTTGCTCATCCACAGATTCTGCAGTGGATTATTTTAAATATGTTACTGAGAATATTTATCTCAACTTGAGTGTTCTTTCTCTGCCATTATATGGTATAGCTGGCTCAAATGTTGGCACACAGTGCTGAGGAGTTCGTACGTCATGTTTGGCTCAGAGGTTGGCAAGTAGTTAATCATCACAGTCTTCCTGCATGGTTGCGTGACAATGATTACATTTTGCATTATCATCGACCTCAGTTAAACACTTTTTGGGCTTGTTTCAAGTCGATTTTCAGAGTGCATACAGAAACAGGAAATATATGGACTCATTTGTTGGGTAAGTTGTACTTATTATAGGGCTATAATTGACGTGAACGACCAACTACTCACCGTCATTTGGTATAGACCTATAAATGATTTGCTAGATTTATGTTTTAAGTTACCTAAACAACGTATCAGAAATTACATTGCGCAACTTCATAAAGTTATTCTGTGAATACCCAGTAATTTCTTTGTTTTTGAATATTTTATGGGGATTTTCGCATTACACTTATTTTGATGATTGTCGATAGTAGAGAGTACTTCACAAAAGACTGTTTTTTTTAACAAACTTTCATTGCTAGTTGTTTGCGCTTTATCAGGCTGTATAATATTATTCAGAACAAAAAGTAAATTCTGAGATAAAAAGAAGTTTTCGATTACTTCTACACCGCTCTTTTAGATAATAAAAAGTAAATTTATTATTCACTTAGGCGATTTTGGTCATCATCATCTAGTGGATAGTGTTTTAGTTGTTTGAAGATTTGATTACATTTGTAGGGCGTAATAAAAAACTGATTATTTGGTCAACGGAAACTTGGTAATCAAAGACCAGATGGTTGTACTCTCTTGGTTTAAAACAATGTCGCAGAACACGAGTTTTGGCTATTGCTGTTACCAATATACTACCTAACATCATGTGATATTCGAACTCGGACTGAAATACGTTCAAATTCAGTGTTTATTAGATTGTATTAATGTGAACAAACCTATCACTAGTAAATTAATTATTTGGGATTGAACTATACTGTAGTATGTAAGAAACACATCTTGTCTATAGATGACAGAACAATCATCGTCTTAAACGTACCTAATTTGGGAAACTGTAGATTGCATGGCAATTGAATTTCAAACTAAGTTACCAAGCCATTACGAGTTAGTAATAATAGCCCACTATTTCTACAAAATCTCATTTAGTTTGTGAGAAGAGTCCCCTTCTGCTTCCATTAACATCATAATTGAAAAACTTGGTTTCCTAGAGCTTATTCAAAATTCATACCCGTGGTTCCATGCTGACAGATAGCCAGTATCATCCCACTGACAAGTTATTAACACAATTTCACAATTAAGAACCATAAAAACTAGTGATCACAACTCAAAACCTAGGTCCAGACATCGACGGTGTTTAGCAATTGTTTTACTCTGTTTAATACACAGAAAGCAAAACGTTCTGAATTTATGGAACAGTTTAAGATTTAGGTATTAAAATTAATCATAAGTCTTCAAAGACGTTTAAAGCTGTGATAAGATTTTATTCAGTCAGTAGAATTTCCGAACGGTATCCTTTTGTTCCATCTACACATACGCTTAATACTCATTCTGAAAGCGACCTTGAATTTTTATTTCCCATTCTTGAATAAATTCAGACCATAAAAATAACTAGTTCTTCAGAGACAATGAACTCAAGATATCAATCTACCGTAAACTTATTAGAAAACTGACAAACGATGCCATTGTTAAATATTCTCAGTTGCTTTGTCTCACGACCTGGTCTTAGCATTCTTTGTCCGGTCGAAGTCATTCGCATCTCTGGAGTTTGTTGCTTTAAAAAATCTTGTATAATCAGAGTTATCAAAAACTAGGTCTTGTCAGTGCATTACTATATATCAATACTTACGATTTTCTTTAAAAGTTTCTTACTGCTCGCTAAGAACTAAAATCCACGACAGGTTGATTGGTTTGGGACCATCGCAAGTTCGGTCGTTCTAGATTTGAACATATGCTTATCCTTCCTAGTTTTCAAACTCCCTGATACGGTCGATGGTGGGGAGAGTCCGCTCTCCCTCTCGAAATGCTCTTATATGGACACGCGTATACAACCACTGCCTTATTGTGACAGGGGTGATGTTTACGAAATTGTGAACACGAAAAGCGATGTCTGGCGCTTTATTTGGGTAGTGAACACGTAAGGTCTACCTAGGAGAGTCGGAAAACCTTGGTTCCAAACCAATGGTGAACATGACTCCAGGGTTCTGAAGGGAAGAATGTCGTATGAACCAATTATTGGTCACCGGCTACCACGAGACTGCATCTTTTTACATTACTCCACTGCCTCGTGGGCCAGACCTTTAGGTCGAGGGCTCCAGGTGTTGCCCCCTAAGAAAATCACTTGCTTCGGTCTGGACACTCGGACAGTATCACAGCCCACTCCAAAATCAAGTGAATTGTGTGTAGCATATGTATTCAGTGCCCCTTTGTATCAATATTTATATGTTCAAATAAATAAAATGGCTTTCCTATTATTGTGGAAGGAGGATACAGCATCATTCATTGCTTCTTCTCGTTCTAGACTTACCAGAACTTTCGATTCAACTAAAAGTCTACAAGTCAGCAGCGATGTTCTATTCTCTTTGTGTCCGAAGACTGAATCAATTAGTTGCCATAAAGGAAGGTATAGTTGGATTGTTCTTCCAAGTGATTCCCCTCACTCTCTGGTTTTTATCTTATCCCTTCTTTTTAGGCACTTAGGTTTGGTAACCACGGATCCTTTCGATCCGTTGATAATTCCAAGTCTTTGTTACTGTTAATGACGAACAGGTCATTTTCAAGCTCTTTGATTTATAAAACTTGTTGGAAACCTTTGTCGTTACTACACCACTCAAACCTTACGTTCTTTGTTCTCGGGTAATAGCAACTAGAATCTTAGGTAACGCAATAATTGATGGTCTTCAGTGATTTTAACTGCTCTACGTTCAAGCTCTTTTCTTAATTAATTGTTTCTCAATGTAGCATGACTATAAAATCCTGTATAAGAACTGGGTATCCGCAGTTTAAAACTTTTTTACTCGCAGTCAGTTTTAAAATTCTCTCAGGGCAATTGAAAGCATGCTCTAATTATATGTGGTCATTTTTCTGCTTGTCTTAATGTTTATTTTAAACATTGTTTGTTTTAGGGTGTGGGAGCTTTTTTGCCATTACAATATTCATGTTAATTCAGTCAGGAGCTCTACTACAATGGCAAGATAAGCTTGTATTTTCTGCATTCTTTTTTGGTGCTACTGTTTGTCTCGGACTTTCTTGTTTATTTCACACTCTTTCTTGTCATTCGAAAAGCATTGGACGGTTGTTTAACAGGTAATTATCTCGATTTTGATAAGAAATTTACCAAATAGTTCTAGGGATATTCAGATCACAAGATATTACTGTTGTTCAAAATAACCTGTAAACCAAGTTGACGTTATTCATTGTTTTAGGTATCGTACATTAACAAGAAAAGTGTTCATTAAAGTAGGCATAACTGTTTCGTATATTTTTTTCAGTCTTTTTTCGTCATAAGGAAAATCTTCAGAAAGCAGGTCTCAAATTAGACTTTCAGATTGGTACTTTTGGTTATGTCCAGTCGAACATGGAATCAAATAGGAATTATTCATGTTCATGTTAGTAGAACAAAAATCAGTACAGTTTTAAATTGGCACATAGTAAACTTAACTGTTCTGCAAAAGAAAGCAAACTACATGGAATACCGTATCGCCGTACGATACCACTCATAGATATTCTTAATAAGTAACATCTGGACCTAGCATGCGTTATTATAATTCTCGTGTTACGCCAATAAAAATGAAACCGCTAACTTAGTGTAGACGCTAACAATTGATACACAATGCAGAGTTCATCCTTCTTAAAAACTACCTTAGAACAATCTTCAGGAAAATCAACCAAGTACTCTATACATCTTGAATTATTACAATTATTAAAACTTGAAAAAGCCGTTTAATTCTATGTAAAAAATGCAACACCACAATCCATAACTAAGATATTTGTCGCACAAGACTGAGTAATATGTTCATAGTTAATTAGTCATAATTTATAAATGGTCTAGAATATCTTACCAGATCAAAGGAATTTTATGATGCAAAACACAAATACGAGTCGCCTGTTCTATCATTGTGGATAGAATGTACAAACTTGTTTCCTAAACATTTGTCCCGTAGTTTCTTAAACCCTTTCCTATGGTTCTTGCTAATATTTATTTTAGTTGGTAGAAGAATTGGTTATTGGTTGTGTAACTGGGATCCCTTTAAATGGATACTCTGAAACGACAGTATTTGGTCAAATCTTTTAAGATCCATTTCACTGCATTAACTTAGTGTGTGTTGTTAAGTTTTGAGCAACTTATTCTTTGTCCACTAGCTTATTCACTTCCTTGAAATATATCATAGCACTGTTCATTTTATCAACTCTTACTTATTTACAACTGTTTTTATCAAATTATTTATTATGCTATAGCAGCTATATGAAACCTATATCTTTAAAATGATCAATTCTTACCACCTAGAAAAGACTAACTAGCATACCTACAGTGTCTAACAAGGTTCAGGTTAATCACCTATGGAGCCATAAACTGATAACATTTCTTTTATAAATAAAATACCACATTTTAGGTTTTCTAGACATTTTCGTGTTTTGGCCACTTATTATACTCATATCTCACCAGTATGGCATAAATAATTTATGGTAAGGTTTATATTCTCTTTTTCAGGTTGGACTATACTGGCATAGCGTTTCTAAATTTAGGTTCGTTTGTACCATATTTATATTATTCATTCTACTGCATATTGTGGGCCAAGTTATTTTATATTATTTCGGTTGCCGTTTTGGGGATAGCAGCAGTCGTTGTTTCAATGCATCCATCTTTTACTACACCTCATTATCGTCCTATTCGGGCTGGTGTTTTCATGGGATTAGGTCTTTCAGGAGTTATTCCATGCATTCACACAGTAATATTAGATGGATTCTTCCATTCTGTTATTCAAGGTTCTTTAGGTTGGCTTATTCTTATGGCCGTTTTGTATTTAAGTGGTGCAACCATCTACGCTGTCCGTGTACCGGAAAGACTATTTCCTGGACGTTTTGATATTTGGGTTAGTTTTATCGTATTGTATGTAATTATCTCTTTTTGTTTATTCCTGAACAGAACATTAATAGGAACTAAAATACAAGTAATTTCTGGATATTGAGATTTAAATGTTTTGTTGATAGTTTTATCCCATAGTGACATGTTTTTCGGCATCATTTTTTTGTTAAGTACATTATAAACGTCCTGTTGATTGCATGAAAATTCCTTGATGTACGTAATCTACTGTTGTTTTGCGTATATCGTTTTATATAGTATGGACGCTAAATGAATAAGTTCAGAATGTTTCATGTACACACTTAACCAGTAAATGAAATGCAACATTTGCATACGTCAGACTGAAATACTGTCTATTTTCGATGTCTTAGCCCATCGGACAGACATTAGTGACTAGTTGTCGCAACTGGACTCTGTCAAGTTTATTCTTGACAAATAGCATTTCTAAACATGAAGAGATTCTCTGACCTAGACACACCTCACCACAACATGGACACAAATAGGGATTATTGCTGTTAGTCGTTGCTAGAAGGGGTCAGTAGAAAACTCGCTCCTTAATCTCACACTTAAACTCTGACTATGCTGTAGTACGAACATGAAATTTTTACGCCTTACTGGATGTAGAAAAATTACAACTAGAAAACCTCTGAGATTCTTTTGATTCCAAGTTTGCCATGTTTATCAGGCTACTGATTAGAAAATCAGTGATTCTCAAAATCAGGAATGAATGAAGTTGCCTGTTTGCATCAAGGGTAATTGATTGGGAAATACTTAGATTAGAATGCATCTTACTGATCTGAAAAAGTTCAATCTTGACTATAGAAGGACAGTCACGAAACTAAGACATCTTAAATTTTAAGGGTTGTCTGCTTTTTTATTAAGGCTTTCTGGCAACCATAATAAAATTCATTTAAAACCTAATCCGTTTAAGTAATATAGTTGTCACTACCAAGATTTGACTTGATAACTTCAAATAAGTTGAGTATTCGATAGGTCATTCTAAATAAAAAATATATTTTAAATTTTCTGACGTTTCGTGATTCAATGTAAGTCACTTCTTCAGAGAATAAACAACTAAACTTATGAATTTGAAAATTAGCATCCATATATATAGATTCATTTTGTTTATTTGAACCACTTTTACAAATTAAATCTGATCAGCAAAATTAGTGTACGTTATCACAAAGCTTTGAATAGTGATTAGAGAATAAAATGAATTGCCATCTTCACAAGTCGGTAGTATTTCAACATGGTTGATATACAATATAGGTGTGAATCTCCAAGTTGTTTGATTTCTCGTGTAATTGTATCCTGTCATGGGTTTCTTATTGAGCAGAAACAAACCACATGCACATATGAGGTTACAAGACAATACTATCCATACATTTATTTTTATTATCTCACTGACCAGCTACACCTAAGTGTGAAGACTAGTGATGCTACTTGGTTACACAAACTGAAGTACATGGAGCGGGGTTTAAGCTTACGGATAGAAGTCCAAAACTTACTACTGAGCCACCATTGTCCACTCATTAGTATTGTAACACTGGGAATAAACCTTACCTTGAGATGTGATTAGAAAAGTTGACTATCTAAGTCATCGTCTTTTTCAGCGTCGTTTAAACACTAACTTCAATAGATTGTTGTATATTCCTTCAATAAATTCAATAGTTTCATAAGTTCATTTCCAAATCTTTAATTCATGTTTATCTGTTTAGTTTCAAAGTCACCAAATATTTCATGTGTTCGCGGTGGTTGCAGCTTTAGTTCACTACCACGGTTTAGTTAAACTTGCCGACTACCGTCTATCTACTGGCGACTGTAAACCTGTTGGACTGAATTTCGATTCAAATCGATTAAAAATGTTCGGTCTGGATATATTTCCTAACACATGATTAAATATTTCCATAATATGAAAAAGTTATTATTACAAGTGATTACATACTTGAGATATATATATGTCTATTGACTGATCATATATCTTTCATTTGATTTATATTATACCCAATACACAGCATCTCAATATTTTCGGATCGAAAGTCTATGATTTTTATTCTTATTAGTGCTTTTCTGAAGACTATCATACTTACTTTATGTTTGTTATCTTTTTCATTTTTATATGTATATTTATATTATTAATGGTCCGTGTTTATCTAGTGTGACTCTTCGGAATATTAGGTCTTTGAATAAAAACAACTTTTCACTATCACGTTATCTTTCGTAATTGTTATTTCCAACATGGTTTAGATTGTTATTTCGAGATTTTACATGGTTTTCTTTAAAATTGATACATCCTTTACTCTGTAATTTACATGCATAGTTTCTTAGCGCGTATTTACCTCGTGTTCTGTATTGGACTGAGTTAAGCTTTGCTATCAGGATTTACGTCACTCATGTCATCCAGTTGTCTGGATCTGTTTTGTTTGGAACATCAGTAACACTAAGTATGTACTGTTTTACATACTGCTTCAGGACAGCGAAATAAAACTGACAGATCGAAAAGCAAAGTCGCAATGACAGTAGATTCACTGATAGTAAGACTAAAAGCAGGAAATATGGCTTGACAAGGAAAGAGATAAAATGTATGAAGTAGTACTCTGCGATAAAACAAATAATGAACTTATCTGTCAGTGCGATCGTTCAGGACCAAGTCGAGAAAACCAAACCTATGTATATACGAGTACATCTAGCCCCTGTTCATTTTGGTCCGTAACAGATCTTTAAACCCCTTTCCCTTTGTATGTACCACATTCGTATGATTTGACGATATTGGTTATAGCTCACCACCTTACAGTGATTTTTCTTAATCCCTTAATGATATTTCAGCTCTACACACTTTATATTTATGTTGCATTCTATGTAAAAGCATACTACTGTCACAGTTATCACTGATGAATTCAATATATCTATGAAACCCTCAACCTTTGTATTAATGTACCAGCCAGGTTGACTTAATTTCTATTTGAATTATGTATTTACGAGGATCATCAGCTCAGGACCTAATGTAGACAATCAATAAAACTACTGTGTTGTTCTGAACTCATTAATCAGGTCTAAGGTTTGTTTTTTTCGCATGAGCTCCATTAATAACTCCGCCTGAAGTCCCTCCGGGGGCTAAAGCCGGTCCCAAGCCCGGATAAAGGAGGAGGGTTGGCATGGGGTTAGCGTACCCATCCCGTAGAAAACTAACTCGCTAAAGAAAACGCTAGCCAGGAAAAATATTCGAACCATTTAAACTCTGCCCCGGTAGTCAGGTCTTCATTTAGAAGAACTATGACGCCTCATGATGAAAGCCTAATTCCTTCGGAAGTTACGAGGCCGATGCCCCTTCTGACAACCAGAGCGACCATTTATTTAGGTACATGGAATGTTCGTACAATGTGGGACACCGGGAGAGCCTTCCAAATTGCTGCAGAAATGAGAAGATACAACCTAGAGGTACTTGGGATCAGTGAAACACATTGGACACAAGTTGGACAACAACGACTAACTACAGGAGAGCTCCTGTTATACTCCGGCCATGAAGAAGAAAATGCCCCACATACACAAGGAGTTGCATTAATGCTGTCCAAACAAGCACAAAAGGCACTTATAGGATGGGAATCTCATGGACCAAGGATCATCAAAGCCTCCTTCAAAACAAACAGAGAGGGCATTTCAATGAACATCATCCAGTGCTATGCGCCTACCGACGATTACAATGAAGACGCTAAAGATCAATTCTACGATAGGCTGCAGTCAATCATCGAGAAGTGCCCTACAAAGGACCTGACCATTCTGATGGGAGATTTCAATGCCAAGGTTGGAACGGAAAACACTGAATATGAAGACATCATAGGACGACACGGACTGGTGAGAGATTTGCAAATCTATGTGCCTTCAATAGACTGGTAATACTTACTTACTTACTTACGCCTGTTACTCCTCGTGAAGGAGCATAGGCCGCACTATATTCTTACATAAACGCATTCACAAAACCACATGGACTTCACCGGATCACACCACGCAAAACCAAATCGACCATATTTGCATCAACAAAAAGTTCAGGAGGACGATGGAAAACATGAGAACCAGGAGAGGAGCTGATATAGCATCAGACCATCACTTGCCGGTCGCCAAGATGAAATTGAAACTGAAGAAGCACTGGACAATGGGGCGGACAATATCACAAAAGTTCAATACGGCCTTTCTTCAGGATACTGACAAACTCAACAAATTCAAGATAGCCCTCAGCAACAAGTTCCAGGCCTTTCATGATCTACTCAATGGAGAAGGAACTACTGTGGCGAGCAAATGGAAGGGGATCAAAGAAGCAATCACTTCAACCTGTCATGAGGTCCTGGGCCACAAGAAGCACCATCACAAGGAATGGATCACTGTTGATACACTGGATAAGATTCAAGATTTAACAACGATGGCGGAAAAGGCTGCAAGAGAAGGAAACATGAGACAACTGTATGACATAACAAAGAAACTCTCTGGAAATCGCCGCAAACCAGAACAACCAGTGAAAAGCAAGGAAGGTGAGGTAATCACCAACATTGAAGAGCAACAAAACAGGTGAGTAGAACACTTCAAAGAACTCTTGAATCGACCAGCCACACTGAACCCACCCAACATCGAAGCAGCACCCACGGACCCCCCAATCGATGTTGGCCCACCAACAATTGAATAGATAAGCATGGCCATCAGGCAAATCAAGAATGGCATAGCAGCAGGACCAGACAACATTCCAGCAGAGGAACTGAAGGCAGACTTAGCGGAAACTGCAAAGATACTCCACATTCTCTTCAATAAGATTTGGGATGAGGAACAAGTACTAAGAGACTGGAAAGAAGGACTTCTGGCCAAAATACCAAAGAAAGGCGATCTCAGCAACTGTGATAACTACAGGGCCCTCACTCTTCTCTCAATGCCGGGAAAAGTCTTCAACAGGGTATTGTTAAACAAGATGAAGGACTGCGTAGACGCCCAACTTCGTGACCAACAGGCAGGATTCCGTAAGGATAGATCGTGTACAGACCAAATCGCAACACTACGGATCATTGTGGAACAATCAATTGAATGGAATTCATCACTCTACATCAACTTCATTGACTACGAAAAGGCATTTGATAGTGTGGACAGAACAACACTATGGAACCTTCTTTGACACTACGGCGTGCCTCAGAAGATAATCGATATCATACAGAATTCATATAATGGATTAAACTGCAAAATCGTGCATAGAGGACAGTTGACAAAGTCGTTCGAAGTGAAGACCGGTGTTAGGCAAGGTTGCTTACTCTCACCCTTTCTCTTTCTCCTGGTGATCGACTGGATCGTGAAGACGTCAACATCTGAAGGGAAGCGCGGGATACAATGGATATCTAAGATGCAGTTGGATGATCTAGACTTCACAGATTATCCGGCCCTTCTATCCCAAACGCAACAACAAATGCAGGAGAAAATGAACAGTGTGGCAGCAGCAGTAAGTCTCAATATACACCAAGTTAAAAGCAAGATTCTCCGATACAACACAGCATGCACCAATCCAGTCACAATTGACGGAGATTTGGAAGATGTAAATGCTTTACATATTTGCGCAGCATCATTGATGAACAGGGTGGATCTGATGCAGATGTGGAGGCGCGGATCGGCAAAGCAAAAGCAGCATACTTACAGCTGAGGAACATCTGGAACTCAAAGCAACTGTCAACCAACACCAAGGTCAGGATTTTCAATACAAATGTCAAGGTAGTTCTACTGGATGGGGCGGAAACCTGGAGAACTACGAAAGCCATCATCCAGAAAATACAGGTGTTTATTAACAGTTGTCTACGCAAAATACTTCAGATCCGTTGACCGGACACTATTAACAACAACCAACTGTGGGAGAGAACAAGCCAGATCCCAGCGGAGGAAGGAATCAGGAAGAAGCGCTGGAAGTGGATAGGACACACATTGAGGAAAGCACCCAACTGCGTCACAAGACAAGCCCTCACATGGAATCCTGAAGGCCAAAAGAAAAGAGGAAGACCAAAGAACACATTACGTCGAGAAATGGAAACAGACATGAGAAGAATGAACAACGATTGTATCTAACTAGAAAAGAGACCAGGACAGAGTGGGTTGGAGAATGCTGGTCGGCGGCCTATGCTCCATTGGGAGTAACAGGCGTAAGTAAGCATGGGGTGGCACGTGAGCCTGTGACTCCAAACGTTGAAGAGCTTTATTCTAGAAATTGCCGCTCTCATTACATTATCATTTCCTAAGTTACAGTCTAGGAAAGCTGTCACACTTAAAGACTCACCAACCTGATTAGACCAATCGATTGTCCCACTAAAGACATCAACCTGGAGGAAGACAATGTATACAAGATAGTAGTTAATTATCAGGAATCGGATCGCGATTCACTTGAAAAAATCAGTCTAAATAAAAAAGATAAGTCGTGAAAGTATGATGTAGTATTATCCAAAGTCTGAATAGTCCCATTATTACTTATTAGTCCTAAAGATGTAAATGCACAAAGGAAGTTTTTATAGCTCGACGCAAATAAAAATCGCATCACTGCATTATTCAAGTGATAACATTTACCGTCAATATATATATATATTGATATACCTGAGGAAAACTGGTAATTGCAATAGGAAAACTTAGATTCTCACGACGTACGGAAGAAGACAACGACTGATAGCACATTGACAATCGTACTTAAACCCCGTAAAGAAGACAAATTATAGACCAACTACACTCGTTTTTACAGACTTCACTGGCCTGCGATAATTAGTGAATGAAAATAATAAAAAATAGATTTTACACTGAATATAAACAAACAAGTGCTGGATGTTATATTAAATGAGTAACACACCAAACTGATACAAGAGAATATTATACTGAACAGATATCACACTAAATACAATCTGGAGTTTCCTACTATTCTAACATATATTTAGTCTTTTAAATTATTGTTTCGTAATGCAACAATAATTTATAACATTTCAGATAAGAAACCGATTAGCGGCATTAACTGAAAGAAAAAGGTGAACACGTAAATACAAAAAATAGATTCTAAAATGCGCCAAATAATTACGAAGTTCCATGTAAAATGAGTGACATAAACTGAAAGAAGACTACACAATTTATACATACTTACCGTTAGTAAACAGAAAATAACTTGTGAAAATTGCTTAACAAATAAAACCAACCATACAGAAGCTTATCAATAGTTCACTATTGTGGAACAGGAAAACGTTCTGTAAATTAACTGTTGGTAAAAATAGTTGTGGTAGTTGAATGTACACCTGTTTTTCTCAGGTTTACATTAAAGTACTAGTATCCTGAGTACAATGAGCACAGATATATTCATTTATTATTAAAGAACTAAATGTCCCCCCCCCACAAAAACTAGTAAGTTAAAATAGGTTCTTTAAAAAAAAAGAAAACAAAATTCATAATTTTAAAATTAGAGGAAAATTAACTGATCCAGATAGAGATTGTTTTGTTTTACTTTACATCTCTGTATGTTTTAGAAAAACAAATCAGGTTAATGATAATTAAACATTCTTGCCAGTTGTTCAGGTATTAGTTAATTCATTAATGTTCATTTTGTAACATACGTATACATATCACAATAGCTTGTCGAGAAACAGCGCAACTAATGGTAGCAATAAGAAAAAAAAAGCAATAACAATTATTTGACGAGTTTTATTCTCCCTTAAGATTGCCTCCTTTACCATTCGACTGATATGTATTAGCATTTGTTAAGCTTCAACATTGATTTGCCTTCTTTTACTCAAGGGTTATTAATAACATGTAATATATACGAGGGTATACTGAAATTTTCCTTGGTAAGAATCTCATCCGATGGACGACAATCACCTTCTGATAATCTATAAGTAGAAAGTTGAACTACTCCATGATAGTGAACAAACGCTGCAGCAATGACGAATACATGGAAAATTTGATGACTTTGGAACTTGTAAACAAGAAATAGCAAAACAAATTATTTAATATTTTAATCCTAAAAATACACTCGAACAGTAAGTGTCGAATGAT